AAAAATTATTCAGACACTTTGACCTGACCAAGTTTTGCTTAAGGGTTTTTTCTTTAATTGCTAATGCGACCTTTTTACACCACAGACTAAACAAAATTAAGCATTGCTTGGTAATTGGTTGACCTAAATTGGTATTATCTAATTGTGTACTTAAATTTAACAGCTGACAGCTATTTAACCTAATTCATTACATACCTTTCTATCAAAAGTTATCTGACATTATCAAGATGAATTTGTTCCGACAGTTTAACTCTGAGTTCTTGTCATATTTTATTACCATTTTCTAAACTATAGCACATAAGCTGTGATAATGTGAGAAATGTTGATAGTGTCTGAATACATTTTGGTTTGACTGTATATATACAAATACATATATGTGCTTTTTAAGGGACAATTTTTGACACAATTTAGAGTTTTATTTTATTTACTTGTTTCAGTTAATATTGCAAGTGTCTGCTGAAATAGTGAAATGATCAATGATGAATTATTGTCCTTCTAAATCTTTTCATACACAAAAGTGACTTCATGTTTTACGCATGAAGAGATAAGCAGGATGGAAAGGACTTGTGTTAAGGAATGTTTAAAAGGATCGTCTCCATTTCTTTTTGGCAGACTGATGATAAGACAGGTGCAGTAGTACATGTAAGCATACAGTTTGGTGAGAATGAAAACATCACAAAAAACATTATACAAAAACCAACCACATTTATCTGAACTCTGCCAAAAGAACAAAATATGAAAGCCATTTCTGTTATGTAGTCGAATACCATAGAATTTTCCAAACAGTGACTTAAGTAGGTGCTTTATTCGTGGTTCACCCTGTCCAATGCCACATAGAAGCTCTTCTTGTCATCCAGGCAATGCCAACCAATGGGTCCGATCTCACAATCCGCACAAATAAGGTACTTCACTTTACCTACATCTTTTGTAAAGCCCACATTCTCAAATGTGTACATGTCATCAACCAGCCAGTGAGCGGTCAATGTGTCCCCATCAAACGTCCCGTCTGACTGACCAATGGAGGTTTTCTTTCTCATTGCAGGCAGAAACAGCTGGGAAATGGGATAGGGTGTTGCGTAGAAAACAGAGGACACAACAGTCTTAAAATAACATTCTCATCATCATCATATATAACATAAATTGTTTAAATTACAAGTCAGTTGGACAAACAGACTATAATTCCGCAAATTACTTAGTGTAAATTATATTGAATTATTATGTGATGTAACACATGAACCATAACTATATTTAAAATGTTTTACCTCCTTTTCTGCAAACAGTGCCATGCCTGGGCAGAGCACTTTGGAGCCACATCTCTGGCACAACACTGCTTTCACATTTTTACCATCTTCTGACACGAGAGAGGGGTCTACAGATCTCTCGGGAGAGCAGGTCTGTTTGCTGTCATCCATGTTAGTAAGCAACTTTGTTCAAACTGAAAACAAAACATACGATCAATTAGAATTTAACAATTATTACTTGATTAAGCTCGGTCTGTCAATACAGCTAATATGGTATTAACATAAATAGCTAACTGGCTAATTAAGTGACTAGTAAGGAAGAATACTCGCCTCTGAGTCAGACCATGAGGAAAACTGATCTTAAGACAGATGTATTACCCAAATATAGTCTTAGAAATGTTGAGTACAAATATGGTATCTTAGGTGTAAACACAACAATAGACACTACTTAGAAAATACTAGCGGACTACTGTTGGATACTGCTAATATTTGCACAACCGCTAAAGCAGACCGGTTGAAAACAAGAGACGACTCTTACGTTCCGCTCAGAATAACACAGACTCCATTTTCAAGCGCCGTAGTCGTTGTGTTCGTATGATGGGAACATCGAAGTCCAGAGAATATATCGCACATGGATTATTGCATATTTTAGATTATTTATTTAGATATATTTTGCACAAAAAAAAGAGTCTCCGTTCGTGGGGAAAGTGTTTTTATGCAAATGTATAATAAAACAGACTCCCAGGGATTAAATTGTGAACATATCAAAATCTCCATTTAATCTCACAATTAATCTCCATCATATAAATCCACCAAATAAAAGAAACACAATGTATGACCCATAAATATTTATTGAAACATTCACATTTCAGTTAAATGTAAATGACTTACCACCTCTACACATAACACATGAATATATGGATAGTTTAGTCTCTGTGGTAAAGCCACAAAGTTAGCTTATTTAGTTAAAAAGGATCAAACACTACTTTTTACAAACAGCAGTTTGAGAAAGTTCATCAATAAAGATCAAACTTTTTTGTTTATGTTATCTTTTTAATGTGATTGGGTTGCTTGCTTAAGTAAATTAACTAGCTATGCTTGAAACTAATGAAATTTACTACACTGTAGTTTTGGCCCATCTATTTTAAACCTATTTCCAGTGGCCTAAGCCACAGGAATATTCTTATACTTTACAGACTGCACAGATATATCCATGCAGAGGCTTTAATAACAATGATATTTGACATCTGTGCTGTAAGGTGCAACAGTTGACCTGTATATGTTTTTATTTGACCTAGAAGTAAAAGTTAAAAATTGCGAGTGTTCAAAGCAGGTAGATTTGACCAACAACCCTCAAACCCTTATTTGCCCTTTGTGCAGTTTCCAGTCAAACACATTGCTCTATTCATCAAAGTTTGGGCAATACTTCGGGTGCGCATCAAATGATGCCAAGAATTGTTTGTTTACAATAAGCAAAATTTAGATGCATTATATTCTGAGGGGGCAACTCTACAGCTCAATGAAAGTGCTTTTCACTACAAAAGAAACAAGTTCAAACCCCAAGAGATTGTGCTCAAATTAAAGTTTGATGATAACAAGGGTCATCATGTTCCAGCTATCGGATACTTGTACAGTCTACGGTGCCCTTTAACCACACAAACACTTCCATCAAATGAAAAATCATGGACTCTTTGTAACAGGAAAAAAGAATGAAAGTCAAAACAATCAGGGAAAAAACTCAAAGGGAAATAAAAACAAATCAAGGAATGAGTAGAAATGTGTGCACTAAAAATCCTAATTGAAAAGGGATGTGTATGTAGAGCTCTCAGAGGAGAGTGTCATCAGTGCAGCCTCCCTCAAGGCCATAGCGGAACTCCTGCAGGTTGGACACGCCATAGAAATGAATGAAGGCCGCTGCCACCACCAGCACATGGAATATCTGGTGTGAGTGAAACTAAGAAGAGAGCAAAAGTAGGCGAGTAAAACATGCGCAAATCACTATATTTCAGAACAAGATTAAGGAACTAATTTCTTCACTATGACAAAACAAAAACACATTATCTTACCCAAATATCGCACTTGCCCGGGAAATAGCGCTCTGGGATTCGTGCAGCATACAGCCCAGCACCTGTGATGTACATGGCACCCATTAAATAGAACCAGCCCATCTGTCCAACAGTAGTGGCCTTGACGAAACCCTCCTCGATGGTGAAATGCATGGTGGGGACGATCCCGCTCAGTCCAAGACCCATGAAAACTCCTAAAGAAAACATTTTTCAAAAACAACATGCTATGAATTAATGCACTGTTGTCTTGATGCAGTGTTATTTAGTATTACTGAGGCACTATTATAGTTTTTGTTTATTTTAAATTAGCTGTTATTTATTTATTATTTAAGTTTTTAGTAATTTGGTGTTTGTTTTTGTCATTTTTATTTTAAATTTTTTTTCTTAAATTAAAGATAAGAAATATTGCCTTGGCAACTAGCTGAAATAAAAAGTTTTTCATATTTTCATTTATATTATATTTTCGTTTTATATTTTATATTTTCATTTATTTTATTTCAAGCAATGAAAATATATTTTTCAGGTTTTAGTTTTTTAATTCTCTAATCAATTCCCAAATCCAGCCTTAATTTTTTTTTTCTTGTTCAAGAAGCAGTTTAACATTAAAATACAGTAGAAAAGATAACTGGAATTTCCATTTCAAAACTACAGCCAATTAAAGTTATGAAGAGCAAGATTTTAGACCAATGAGATTTTGATGTGGGCAGGGCTGCCCAATGCACTGCAGCAAAAACCAAACCAAGTGACAAACTTGCATGTCTTTTGACTGGCTTCATGACTAGACAAATAAACAAATGGATGAGATTTCTTTTCTTTCATTGATTTTTCATTGCATCTCATCAGAATCACTTTTTCAGCATTAAAGATTGGACTAAACATTATGGCAAATAAGTGACTGCCCACCTGCTCTGGTGGGTCTGTGACGGGGAGTGGAGAAACGGTCCCACTGGGCAACTACAATAGCTGTAATGCCCAACACACAGACGATTGTGAGGTAGATGAGACGCGGCTGAGGAGAGCAGTAGAAGGAGTAGTAAAGCCAGGGTACAAAAGAGCCCATGATCAGCAAAGCAATGCCAGAGTAGTCTAGTCTGAAAGAGAGAGAACATGAGAAACAGAGAGATTAAAGTCACTTAAAATCACTTGAAATAGAACAGTTAATAACAAGACAATAAACGTACTTGGAGAAAGTGCGAGAGACTTTCTCAGAATGGCAGTAGACCGTGTGAAAAAGCCAAGAGAAGCTGAGGCACAGCACTGCACCCAAGAAGAACATCCCGAACACCACCTTCTCCTGCAACGGGGCCATGAAGTACATATTGGGCCTTAGCATGGTAAGTGTGCCCAGGCACAAGAATAAGATTAACCCTGTGGAGGGAAAAAAAACAATGTAATGGGTCAATGTAACACTTATTTTAACCTTTGACTGGATATTTAATTTATTTAAAAATATATTAGAATGCAATTCATACAAACAATGGCTTGAATCCCCATCTTTTATGACTTTAATGTTTTTCATTTCTGAATGAAATTTTATATTTTAATATTTTTTAGGGATATTTTTAGGGGGTATAAAGTCAAAAATATCATATAAATAACTGTTATTTACACCAAATGACACCATGTAATTAAATGTACACCTGACTGAAATATTATGAACTTTTTTCTAAATCATAAGAAGCGACCAGAGAATTATTTTAGTATTATTAAGTATTTATTAATAATTTGAATTAGGTTTTATTTTTATATTTAGAATTTTCATTTGAGTTTAAGTTGGGGTCATTTTGTTTTGCACTTTATTCATTTTTATTATATATATATATATATATATATATATA